CCCCCCCGCCTTCTGCTTGCAACAGAGTCTTTGCAAGCTCCAAGTTTTTCCTTTTCTATGTGTTTTGCCCTCTCCAGCTTCTGGTCCTTAAAGCTTGTTTTGCAATTAAAGCTCCACGCCATAAGCGATCTCGGCTGGCACGCATTTGGGGTCTGTGGGCTGTCCCCAGACAGAAGGAAGCGGGTCTGGCTTTCAAAGACCACAATTCACCGAGGTGGGAACGCTCTTCCAAACTTTGAGAAAACATCGCCCTGCCGAAACCCCAAAGTGGTTGCTTCAAAAGCAGGCTCTGAGGTTCAAATGATGTGTAATACTTCTTTCTTTTTTTTTATGGGTTCCTATATGTGTCTGGTGTCGGTGTGGTGTTCCTTTACGTGTCTAATAAAGTCATTTCATGGGGATTATACTCAGATGGAATTGCAAAGAAATGCGCTGGTAAGAGGGCAGGCTGAGTGTTGTGATGCACGTTCAAATGCTTACATATGAAGCTTTATGAAGCTCTATTTATATACACTCTCAAGCCTCTTCTGACCTCCTCTGCTTTAAAACAGTTCTGGAGCTTCAGATTTCTCCAGCCTACTTCTAAAACTTTGGCAAAGACGTTGAGAGATCTTTTTATTTGATTTGTGGGCGAGCGCAGGGCCGGGTTATCCCACCCTGCTCTTGTTAATCTTGACCCTTCCTTGGTTAAGGGCTAGTTTATTTTAACTGTACACCCTGGGTTGTACCACAGGGCATTGTGTGAAAGCTGTAAACATGCTTCCGGGTGTGTGTGTAAAACTAGGGTTAGTGTCGAGAGATTTGGGGGTTCGGTGGTGGACTGATTTTATTGGACTGATGTAAATACAGTGCTTTTTAAATTGTGCTATGCCTTGTTAAAGGTGAATAATAATAATAATAATTTCTAAACCAAATAAAGTTTGTCAACTTCTTTAACTTGCTGGATCCAGTCTGCCTCAGTTCTGCCAACACCAGTTTACATGTTGCAAAGCCCAGTCTGAGCTCTCCCCCAAATTTACCTTCCTCAGGACATTTCTGAACTGGCCCTTTTTGCAACTCAACCAGCCTGTGTAATGAGAGTGATTCTATTTTATTCTCTTTCTCACCCTCACCTCTATCTCGGTCGTCCTCGAGCCTCATATGATTTGATGCAGAGGAACTGTAAGAAATTAAACTGGGAGATGAGGTGCCCTGCTTAAAGCTTAAAGGAGCAAGATTCATGTCTTCATCCATCCACAGCGAGGAAATATCAAGGCTAAACAGGAGCACAGGCTAATACAGGTAGGGAGAAAATCTCATTTTCAGCTCCCGTTCTCTGTCAAATCTGGATTACACAGAGGACTACATCGAGAAAAGATTTTGCATTTTTCTCTCTACCAGATCTCACTGACTATGATCCTGATTTTTCCCCCCCATTACTAAATGTGATGGGAGATCATTTGTTTTCATCCAAAGGAAACAGGAAAAGAGAACTTTGGTGAAATTCTCATGGGAAAAACCAAGTGTCCTTGCACTGATCTGGGGACAAGGTGAACAAGGAGACTGTGATTATGTTCTCCCTTTCACTGACCAATCTTTTCTCCAGCCACCTGCGGCCTCCCTGGCTTCTCTGCCTTCCATTCAATCCCAAGGGAATTGGCCTATAAGACATTTTTGGAATAGGAAGGAAAGGCAGCCAGGGAGGCTGGAGAGGGATGGGAAGATGTGGACCAGAAACACAGAACAACATCCTCTCTTCAGCCATCTGCAGCCTCCCTGGCTTCTCTCCCTTTCATTCAATCCCAAGGGAATTGGCCTATAAGACATTTTCAGAGTAGGAAGGAAGGGCAGCCAGGGAGGCTGGTGAGTGATGGGGAGATTTGCAAAGGAAAAACACACAACCGTTCTCTCTCCAGCTATCTGCAGCCTCCCTGGCTTCCCACCCAAAGGAAGACATTGGGAGAGCACTGTTCCAGATGGGGAAATGGGAAGAGCCGGCAGCAATAGCCTCCTCCACTCTCTCCAGTGATTGAATCCGTTCACAAGATCACAGAGCGAAACCCAGAAGCAATTCTCAAGTCCCTGCTGAGAACGAAGTAGAAAAACAGAAGCCCCTTTCAAAGAAGAAGGAAACTTGAGATTTTGCAGGACAGGCATCAGTTTGGCATTCTGGATCTCAGTCTTCTGCTCCACCAAGAATACTTGGGACATAGCAGAAAGTCACCAAAGAGAAGAAGTTTCAAAAATAAATATAATAAGAAATGGACAAGGTCATAATAGCTTTCAAAGGGATCAAAGGGGAAGCCAATTATATGGCATCGACAAGCTAATCTACCAGAACCATGTCTCGAAGGAATTTAAGTGCCCTGCTCAAATTTCCTGCAGCGATAAGGGGGCCTGCAGAATTTGGCTGCAGTTTGGGGAAGGAAAAGAGCGATTGTGAAAAAAAAGAAAAGATAATTATCTTTGTATGGTCCCTTTTAGCATTTCCTTTCTTATGCGATTTGGCACTCCGCTGGCATGGCGAGGGGAGAAAGCCCTGTTAAGGGCGAGTGGGATTTTTTTTTCAAAAAAATGATAGAAAAGTAAGGAAAGGCAACGTATTGAACCGTCAAATGTGTTCTGATGATAGGGTGTTATGTTTGGGAAGCAATTAGGCAGCACTGCCTCTGCTTGATACGCGATCAGGAGGACAGAACGGAAAAAACGAGCATTGTTGGAAAAGTATGTTCGGTTTTCTTATTTGGTGGCTTTGCAAATGTCTCTTTCTGGGATCTAAATAATAACACACACCTATGGAGCCCAGAAAAAGTAGGCCCCCGTTTGCTACACTTCCGTTTCCTTCCTCCCACTCTGGCTTCATTTTCCACAGGAACCCCCCACCCCGGTTCATCTGAAGATGGAAAACCATCAACCTTACAGGAGAGACGGAAAATCCCAATTTGAGAATGGCGAACGTGGACGCCCCAATCACAAGACAAGGAGGACATCAGAAGCCTGAAGCAACACTAGAAGAACGTCCACCTGTTGCTGTGATGACAGAGTTTCTGCTTCGTGATTGCAGACCAGGTCCAGTGTTTAACGGTTCAGCCGGCCCCGATGACCCCTTCCGGCCATGCGACGGTACAAAATAAACCGCCTCCATTTCTCTATCTTGGAAAAAGAGGAAACGTATCTCACCTTCCAAACTAGGCGGCAGGTTTCCAGCAGAGAAATTTCCTTCTTTCATATACATCAGCAGCTCTTCTCCGGGTTCTATCTCTTTAATAACTTTATAATAAATCTAGACATGGACAACAAGGGAGAACAAGAGAGAAAGAGAGAGAGAGAAAAGGGGGGTGGGGAAGAGAAATTAAGAATGTGGGTGTCAGTTAACGTTATTGGAAATGAAAAAGTGGGTTATTTAGCTTGATCGTGGTGGTTGATAGCAATCACTTATTATTGTCCCTCTTACCCCAGAAGGTTCTCACATGAGAAGGTCCATTCTGGAGAAGGTTCCACCATTGTACATATGGTGTGTTCAACGAGGAGTACTCTGGCCATATATGCACTGGTCTTCTCAATATTTCCTGACTGTTGTAACATTTTCTTGAGATACCCCAGTTCAACATCCTTCTGATGAATTTTTGTAGGTCTACCAGCCTTGGTAAGGCAATTAGCTTGGTCAGTTTGAACTTCTACAAGGGCTTCCCGCCTCTGCATCCATTTCAACCCAAGCTCCATGTGTATTCATGCCCTGCAGAAAATTTCCCTACATTTTTCCCCCGACCCATTCTCATTCAGTTTGGTGCCAAGGATTCACTTTCACGCTTTCTTTCGAGAGAATGTTGCTGAAATTCCCATCTTTCAATGTCCCCCAATGGAAAACAGGACGAAAATAAAAGCAGGAGTAGTAAACAGTCAAAAACATTGAATTTAAGACAGCGTGCACCACCTGAGGACAATATCAAGAATCACTTTGCATGCCCCAAAGAATGAGATTTTAGAGTTGGGTTAAACTATAACCACAACACCTAAAGTTCAGGCTGCTGGAATTTTGCAGCAAAACGGTCCGCCTGGATGTGGGCTGTGTTAAAAAATTGGAAACAGGAAGATTCTGGGAAGCAGGCGCCTTCCATTTCCCCCCTTAACATACCCTGTGTCCCCAAATTATATTGCTATCTTCGGTGCTAAAATGAATGATCTGAAATGTATCTTGGGACTATGAGTCACCTACCAGGTTTCACACCCCAATCTTGATTTCGAGAGCTTCCTGGCTATTCTTTATCCTTTTGTAGGAGCTGCTGGTGGTGGTGGTGCTGAAAACATTTTGCCCCCTTCCCCAGAAGACCAAGGATTCTGGACTTGCTTTAGCCTTCCCTAGAGCTGTGGGCAAAGGGCCTTTTCAAACATCACCATTTTATTCAATGGGGGTGGGGGTCACGAAGCTCCTCCAGGAAAAAAAGACCATCTCCCACAATTTGAGATATGGTGTAAGAGTTAAGGTGTGGGATAAAGACTGGGGAGTCCCAGGTTCAATTCTTCACTCATCTATGGACCTGGAATAGGGGTCTTTGGGTCAGTCACTCTCTTTCAAGCCAGCATACCTCAAAGGGTTGTGGTAGAGGAAACCCTGCCTTCTGCAGCTGGAGGAAAGACAGATAGAATTTCCATGGAGAAATGAATGTAGAAATAAATACATCCAGGGAGGGGTTTGCCAATCAGTGACAATTGTATAGCTTTTTTTCCTCCCTCCCCCCCCCCCCTCCCCC